CGCTGCCACAATGCCGCTGACGCTGCTGCCTTTGCCTGCAGGCAGTCGCTGTGCCCCCCACCATCTGGGGGCACGCATGGTTCATGGCTGCACAAGCAAGCTAGAGAGACTTCTCCCTTCACTTTGTCCACCTGCAGCACTGCCCTCCCTCCACTGCTCCTAGTCAGGGAGTTCCCCCTTCACAGCCCTGTCATCTGCTTTTCAAATGTGAACCTGGCCTGGTCACACAGGTTATAATAAGCCACTTAAATGGCAGGTGTTAGCATTACCTCCAGTTCGGAGCAGTTGCGCATCCAGGCAGGGGAGCGCCTGGAGGACTGAAAGGTAAGAATCTCCCCTCGATTTCTCCCCCCCCCCCCCCCTTCCGGTTTTTCCCCAGTTCCCTTCAGGTTTGCTCCCCCTTGCTTGTGGCTGCCCACCTGTCTGTCCCTTTGCCACCTGGCTGCTGCTCTTCTCTGGGCTGAGCCCAGACCAGAGAACAGCACGGTGGCCAGACAGGCAGGGTAACACTTTCCTGGATGCTGTTGAGGGACAGAAATACACGTTTATGAGTGACTATGGGTCTGATGGACATACTTGAAATCAGAAGCAAATAAGTTAACTTATCTATGCTAGGTTCCTTGGGTCAATGTGATATATTTTATTAGATCAACTGAAGAGTTAGAAAAAATGTTCTTTGCAAGCTTTTGGGCAAAAACGTCCTTCTTTGGGCATAGGGAAGAAGGGTGCTTGTGCCAGAAAGCTTGCAAGGAACATTTTTTCCAGCTATTTAGTTGGTCTAATAAAAGATGTCACATTTACCCAAAGAAACTAGTCTGCCTGTGTCCTTAGACCAACACAGCTACAACCAACAACCCTTAAGCTAAGCTAGTCGCATTGATTTGGGAATGGCTGCTTTGGAATGGTTTCTTGCTCAGTAACTTATTGAAATACATTTAAAGAGTAATTTTCAGTTTAAATAATGGCTTGGGTGGATGGGGAAAGGATACGACCATTTCACATTTATATTAATCAGCTGTCCCATGTCTGTCTGTTTGAAAACTTCCCCTGTGAACTCCTAGACTTATGGAATAGCTTGGTAGACTTTTGTTTTAGGAGTGTTTAAAAAAAAAAATTATTCTGGAACATCTACCTTGAAATAAGCTTATGCTGGGATCAGATAGAATATTGGTTAAAGATGAGCTAAGGTGATCAAAGTTATGGTGACCTGATCTATAGATCAGACATTCCTAGCTCACTTAGGATTCCCATTGCCATTTTTAGGCAAGTTGGATTATATGAGGAGTGAAGGAGTCAGTCCTGAATACTCTACCTTGGCCACAGCATGCCTGATCTGGAGCCTTGTAGTGTCATTGTTTTGTTGGCATGTTTTGCCTTCATGAAAGTTGATAAAAAATATTTACAAGTGGTTGTTGACAAAATAACTTTTGTTGATTTACTCTGTACTGCTAGAGTCAGAAGAGTGTAGAGAAGGAAGACCATCGTTAAACATTGCCTAGGGTTACTGGTGTTCAACCTCTGAGGCCCTATGGGCTGGATAGGTGGTATAAGGTCAGCCCACAGGTTGGATCTCATGAGG